GGGAAGTCCCGGTCCCTGCACAAGAAAACGGAGTTGAAGAATTGGTTAAAGAGTTCCTTTTTCTTCTCTGGCGCAACCACCAGATTGCCCAGCGTATTTTGTAGGGGCCCCACATTTCCCAGTGCTTTCTTCATCCTCCCTATATATTTGAAAAAGGGAAAATATTGCCGCTGCCCCGTGTGAGGATCAAACTCATGACCTTCAGACTATGAGACTGACGCACTACATACTGCGCTAACAAGGCAGCATTGATTGATGTAAAGTGGCCAGAGGTATTTGCAAAACCTCTGAGTGTGTCAGTTTCATTCACTCTTTGGTATGTGACTGCATTTGTATGTGATCCCAGACATCATCATTTTAAATACAGCTATAGCCCAAACCAGGTTGGATGGGTGAAACAGAAGATACAGCAACTAACTATAGCCAGATGAGAGCCATTCAGTTGATTGCTGCTCTGAAAATCTCTCTCTTTTATTTTATACAGTACACACGTAAGGAGCATTATTATGCTTTTGGCAGTGGAAACAAATGACTATAACTTTTTCTTTTTTAATTTAAAGGAATCTTGGGCACAGGATATCAGTAAAGTCAGAGAACGAATGACAAAGTTTATAGATGACACTATGAGAGAAACTGCTGAGCCTTTCCTCTTTGTTGATGAGGTGAGATAATATGATAATTTCTTTTAGTTATCTATATTTTCTCTTTATTTCCTGTAAATTGTAGTTTGCTGATTAGAGAGCAAGTTCTGTGAACTCTACTCTTTATAAAGTTTTGTATTCTTTTCCCTCTTGCAACCAAATGCATTTACATCCAGTCTCTGTCTTTATGTTTTAGTTTCTGACTTACCTTTTCTCAAAAGAAAACAGTATTTGGGATGATAAATATGATGCAATAGATGCCCAGGATATGAATAACCCTTTGTCCCACTACTGGATCTCTTCCTCTCACAACACGTAAGTTTTCTTTTTTTAAAAACCTTGGTCTTCTAGTTCTGATCAGATAGACCTGGCATATATTAATAGAAAAAAGTCCAGGTTATGCCAGGAATGTGCAGTCTGGCTTTCGGAAGACTCCATGGGAGGTTATGCATATGCACCTGACAGTGGTCACTGACCTTTTTCTGAAAACTTAAAAAAAAAAATCTTGAGAAGCAGTGAATTGTATTTCCAAGAAATACAAAGCAAAAAAAAACCTTTCCAGGAGAAAATGGAAGAGAACTGTAGCCATTAGTCTATGCTCAGACTCCTGCACAAGCTTCCTGTAAATAACTCTAGGGGTGTGTCCAGACGAGTGTGCACATGTGTTTCCCCAGGGACAAATAGTGGCACAACTATGTGCCACTGCTATTTGTGCCTGGGGAATGCCCCTGCACGCATGTTCTGGCTCTGTGCTGCAAATATGCAGAGTGAAGAACCTTTCGATGTGCATTGCATGTGTTTTGCAGCACCTGAGAAGCCTTTGAGGCCCTGCAAAGCGCACGCGCATGCTCATCTGGATGTGCCCTAGGAGTCAGGGCTCTTCAAAGAGCCCTGCATGTACTGCCCAGTTCAGACCTAGTGTGTCTAGGCTTTTTGAGACTTTAGGAGGCAAATCTTAAGCCTCTTCAGTAGTGGGACTTTGTCTCAGTGCAAGTTGCAGAATTTGGGTAAAAGTTCTTTCTGGGATGCATGTACCTTATTGTGTATTGTATACAAGGGGTCAGAATTGTACTGGTATTCCTTATGCCACCTGTACTGCAGCATTGTAGTCAGCTGTGCATGCATCTTTGTTTAAACAGAGTTCTAGAGAAGGATGGTGATAGTATTTCAAACTTATATTGCTTACAGTTTCAAAGGAAAGTTGTGGCAGAAACCAAGAATGGAACCCAGGAGTACTGGCCTCCAGTCAGCTTCTAAAACCAGGATGTAATATTGCTTTAATGTGGCCAGATCGTTTTGGGGTGGAAAATGCCACCACCTTTGTGTGACTGGAAAGGTGACAGAAGTGCTGTGCTGAGCTCTGCCAGATCAGGAGGGAGTGCAGGGGGCCAGTGGGGAGATGCTGGAATACAGACTGGGGGTGTAACAGCTTGTGCTGTTCCAAAGTGGAAAGGATTGTTTCCAGTGAAGGAGTTGAATGTGGCTGATATGGGTTGTAGAAACTGAGTGCCCATGCTTGTTGCCATACATAGGTATGTGGGGCATGCCCCAAGATGTCAGCCCTCACTCTGATCTTCAGAGAATCACAGAAAGTTAGTTTTGGAAGGAACCTCAGGAGGTCACATCTAGTCCAACCCCCTGCTCAAAGCAGGACCAGCCCCAACTAGATCATCCCAACCAAGATTTTGTCTAGCTGGGTCTTAAAAACCTCCAAGGATGGAGCATCTTCCACCTCTCTGGGTAACTTGTTCCAGTGTTTCACTGCCCTCCTAGTGAGAAAAGTATTCTTAATATCTAACCTAAACTTCCCTTGCTGCAACTTGAGCCCATTGCTCCTTGTTCTGTCATCTGCCCCCACTGAGAACAGTCCAGCTCCATCCTCTTTCGAACCCCCCTTCAGGTAGTTGAAGGCTGCTATTAAATCTCCTCTGTCTTCCCTTCCGTAGACTTAATAAGCCCAGTTCCCTCAGCCTCTTCTCAGACGTCATTTGCCCCAGACCCCAAACCATCTTCACTGCCCTCTGCTGGACTCTCTCCAACTTGTCCACATCCTTTCTGTAGCGGGGGGCCCAAAACTGAACACAGCACTCCAGATGTGGGCTCACCAGTGCTGAATAGAGGGGAATAATCACTTCTCTTGACCTACTGGCAGCACACCTACCAGTGCAGCCCAGTATGCCGTAGCCTTCTTGGCAACAAGGGCACACTGCTGGCTCATATTCAGTTGACTGTCCACTGTACCCCCAGGAACTGCTGCCCAGCCAGTCACCCTCAGCCTCCACCAGTGCATGGGATTGTTCTGTCCTAAGTGCAGGACTTTGCACTTGTCTTTGTTGAACCTTATGAGATTCCTTGTGGCCCAGTCCTCCAATTTGTCTAGGTCACTCTGAATCCTAGCCCTACCCACCAGTGTATCTACTACTCCCCGCAGCTTGGTGTCATCTGCAAACTTGCTGAGGGTGCAAGTTTCCTTGTTATTAGGAGTTTAAGTTGCTATCAACTCTTCCTTAAACATAAAAACCTTTAAGAAATAACGTGGCTGAAAATTTCTATAGTGGGGCCTGCCTTACTCTTAGCCATTCTGGTGGGTCTTTCAAGATTTGCTGTTTGTGAACTGTAAATACGCAGACTCCTAGCCCAGATAATAGGAAACAGGATTTTCTATAATAGGAAAACTATCAGTTATCAGCTAGAAAAGATGGGGGGCAGGGGGAACATGTTGGCATCGTTGCCTTTCCTAACTCGCAGTCTCATTTTTCTGCTTAGATACCTCACGGGGGACCAGCTTCGAAGTGAATCCTCCACAGAAGCTTATATCAGGTGCCTTCGCATGGGATGTCGCTGTATTGAGTGTGAGTAAGAGGCTCGTGGACTGGCATGTAATGAAAGAATGGTTTTGTTCCCCACCTAGGTGGAGCTGCCTCTGATTGCTAAGCACAGACACAAACAAGAGCGGGCGGGGTGGGGGGGGTGTTAAACACAGGGTCATGCATTTCTTGTTAAATGATGTGATAATTCCTTGAACCAGCTTTCGCAGGAATGCCCATCTATTCCACTGTGCACTTGCTCTTTTTCTTTCCTTAGAAGTCTAACTAGCCCTTTTCAAACCTAGCTCAGGGTATACACCAGTGACAAATTGTCACAGTTACCAAATGAAAGCAAACGGTTTAAAGCCCAGTAAATAACTTTATGACGAACATTTATGATGAAGGTTTGCAGCTAATTGATGCAGTTATGCTGATGGACATTTGTTTCATGAGCACCAGGTTGCAGCCCCTCTGTGTTGGTATTGGTATCACACAGAAAATAGTGTCAGCCCAGCTAAGAGTCTATAAAATTAATTTCTCCAGTAACTACAAGGATATCCTCTGAAGAGTTTGTCCACATTTTATGGTATTTTATGCGGGTTGTTTGGCCAAGCACTGCTTGGCACTGTTCAGAAGTTATCTTGCTACTGGCTGATCAGCCTCTCTCTTTCTCTGTCTCTCCCATAGTTACAAGAGGCCCCATGGTATAGTTATTAATCTGGTAACTGAGCACCTGTCTTAAGTACCAACTTGAGAACTAGGATAAGCTGTAAATGGAGAAACTTCCAAATTGTAGGAGCAGATTTACTACTTGTGAATATAGGTAGTAAACAGTCTAAACAACTGTCTAAACTCCTTGGGCATTTATACACATAATTTTTTCCCGCAACATGCTGGAGATCCGCCGCTTAAGAGTAGACTTGATGAATCAAGTCTGCTCTGCAGGCAAGCTGAGGTGAACTGCGCTGAGCTGCGTAATGCAGGTCAGCGCACAGAACATGATGGTGGTGCGCTTTTGAACTAAAGCACCTCCAAGGTATGTTAGTTCAAAACCACGCTGCCGCCATTTTCTCAGTGCTGACGTGCATTTTGCCACTTATACAACTGCAAGCATCACCGTGCGGGGTGGTTTTCAAAGTGCCTGACGCTGCGGCACTTACATGTGTAAGAACGCCCCTTGTTTCCTGGTTTCTTACTTTTGAAAATTCTGTGTTACGTTCTGTGTTTGATGCTTAAACTTAATCTTCTCTGTAAGGAACATCAATCCATCTCAAGGAGCATTTTAACAAAATATAAATGTATATGATGAATTGTATAGAACACTTGGAGGCACTGGATAGAGTTGTGTCATATACACTGGAGTTGTTTAAATAATTACCTTGCCTCTATTTTTTTCCCTCCTGCTGTGCTCATTAGTGGATTGCTGGGATGGTCCTGATGGGAAACCGATAATTTATCATGGATGGACTCGGACAACAAAAATCAAATTTGATGATGTGGTGCAGGCCATCAAGGATCATGCGTTTGTCACATCTGAGTAAGTTTTTCATAACTTCATAGGCTGGTGTTTCCTTACTGTTCATGTTGGATTCATGAAAAGGTCAAAATGTCTATACCTTCCGTAGCGTGGTTTCTGTGATACTCTAAGAGACACAAATCTTGGTATATTTAAGTTGCAGGAGAGGGCCCATAACATTTCAGGGTGCTGCTGGGAGAGCTAGAAAACACAAAAGGGGCTCTTCATCTCCCTGCATGAGACCTTGCCTGGATAGACAACCTTATGATACCAAATGTTTTCAATAATGTGATTTTTAAACTATTGGAAATGTTGAGCAGTGTTAGTGAGATGGAAACTCAGAGCCACTAACTTACTAATGTAGGTGAGCTCCTTAATGGAGAGATGGGGAAACCTTTCTGTGAGCGTCTGGCTCTGGTGACCTGAATTGACAGCAGTGTCCCAGCTTTGCCTTTCCAGTTCTGTGCTGAGATACCTTTCTAACCCTTTTCTTATCTCTTGATTGGGAAGGAGATAGGGTTGCAAGCCTCCTGTCATCATTCCCATGTGGTGTAATTGGTCGGCCGTAGAGAGAAGAAGACATTGTTCCATTCTCAAATGTTTCCCCTTGGGGGTTGAACAAAGACTGCAGTACCTCCATTAAAGCGAAAGACTTCCTCCCCAAGCACCTGTTGACAGCAGTATGAGTCTTAGCCTGTACTCAGCAGCTACAACCTGGCAAAGGCAGTGGTTTATTTTTGGTGTGGCAACGCTTCTGAAGTGGATGGGATTTAGGGAGCTATATAAAGAGCACAGGCATGCCTTGATATGCAGGGTTTTCCGAGTCTGTCTGACAGAGTGAGTTGCAGATGCGTATCATCATCTCAGCAACTAGATGTTTGAGTCAACATGGGTGCACCGAAGCTTCCTGTTATACCATAAACACCTCGAACCACAAAGTAATGAGTACACTGACAATTTCCCTGAGTGCCTGTACTCTCCTTGGAGCATGTCATCTAGTGGTTATGGGTGTATGCATTCCTCTCTCCATTTGTTTTGGCTTTCCCTCCCCACCCCAGCCCTTTTTTAGGAACAGATGTTGAATGCTGCCTCTCTGTTCTCTTTGTCCCAGCTTCCCTGTGATTCTCTCTATTGAAGAGCATTGCAGTGTGGAACAGCAGCGACACATGGCCAAAGTGTTCAAGGACGTATTTGGGGACCAGCTTCTGACAAAGCCTATTGAAGCCAGTGCAGATCAGCTGCCATCACCAACTCAGCTGAAAGAGAAAATTATCATTAAGGCATGTTTCATTTTCCAGGATTCACAGTGTATTGTGGTACCTTTAAACAGGATGGTGGGAACCAAGACTCTGGATTCCTTTCCTGGCTCTGCTGCTTTAGCTTTTATGTGACATTGGACAAGTCTGTAGTTGCCACATATAAAATGAGCAAAACCTGGGTTTAATTAACTAATGTTTATAAAGCATTTTGGGCTCCTTTGGGATGGAAGAGGCTGTTGCTCGAAGTGCATGTTACTAGCACTTGGCAACATTTTATGGAATTTTGTTAAATTACATACTAAATTGCTTGCTGTTTGATTTTTCGTAGTAATTAATGTGGTTGATTTAAGTGCAAGAAGAAATGTCAGCTCTTTTCTAAAGGTCTCCCAGCAAACCTTTCAGCTTCTAAAATGTCACCATTCAATTTCAGGAAGGTTTGCTGCTACCAATCCTTATCATAGACTCTTTGCACAATTACATCCTGCATAAAAATGTTAAGTATGCTCTTGAATGGAAAATAATACTAATACTATTAGCCAGTATTTATATAACCTCTTCCATTCCAGTTGATCCCAAAGCACTTTACAGACTATAGACTTCATTTGCCAAAAGATGCTGTTCATTGAACATTGCAAAAGCAAATGGCACTCTGGCACACACAAAGAATAAAGGTATGACTAACATAGGTAGATTTGTTAGCAGCTTTGAGAACTTGGGGTCTTACACTCAGATAATCGTAGTAAAGTATGATCACAGTAAGGGTCCTCATAAGGTCAAATAGGCCAGCCCCCTGCCCAAGGCAGGATCATCCCTCCCTAAACCATCCCAGCCAAGCGCCTGTTTAACCTGATCCTGAAAATTTCCAGGGATGGAGATCCTGCAACTTCTCTAGGTAGGCTGTTTCAGTTTTTTACAGTCAGAAAGTTTTTTCTGTTCTCCAACCTACATTTTCTCTGCTGCAGTTTAAGGCCATTGTTCCTAGTCCTGTCCCTTACAGTCGCAGGGAAACACTGTCTCCAGCCTCTTTATAATTGCCTTTCAGGGATTTGAAAACTGTTATCAAATCCCTCTCAGTCCTCTTTTCTTCAGACTAAAAGTCTTCCTTAATGTCACTCTTTGGGGCCACATCTACATGAGATGTTTACTTGCCTACATAAAATGGAGCTGCCTAATTAGCAGGCCCAGGCTCTGGCCAGGTCTTTGTCACCCACCATAGAGCCTGGACTGCTCACAGCAGGCACTGGGGAGGCTGCAAACAGCCAAACCAAGGTCTGCGGAGTCCTGGTCTGGCTTGTTGCTGGTGGCGGGTGCACATGCGCTGCTGGGCAGAGGACAGGGGAGGGGCCGGGATTGTGCTTCCCTGGGCCCTTCCCACCATGTGCCCTGAGGGGGGTGGGTGGGTGGCTGCAGCCACCACCACGCCAGAGATCTGGACCTTGCTGCACTGGTTGCAGCCTCCTGACTGCCTGCCACATCTGGCCTGGGCTCTGGGTAGCTGCTGCCTGCCATGGAGCCCAGGCTGCTTGCAGCAGGGTTTGCAGCCTCTGCACTGCTCCCGGGCTCCATGAGTGGTGGTGGCAGGTGCCCAGAGCCTGGGCCTGCTGAGGTGTGCCCAAAGCACGTGAGAACAATGTGCCCATGGCATGTGAGAGCAGTGTGCATGTGAGGACAGTGGTCTGGCATGTGTGCTGGGGGTGCCAACCCCTGAGCTAATTCTTCTTTCCTATACTCCCCCCCTCATAAAATATCTGGGCTGCTGCCATTTCACCTACCCTGTGGCACTGGTCATAGTGACTTATTCTTCACTTGGCTTTCTCTTTGTTCTGTCCAGTCATAAATGTTTCTGTGCTGGTTCTGGGATGGTCTAAATCACTGCACCTTTTTCATTAGAAGGGAAGACTTTATTCTGTAGATAATCATTGGAATTACTCTTCTCAAGGGTGTTGACGTGTACTTTTCACATAGCAGCTTGGCATCCTGAACAAACTGAAAGTCTTGGCATGTGTATCAGTAATTTAAGAATCATCTTCTCCTGGCTACAAGCACCAGCATTGCCCTTGTACTCCCACTATGTGATACCTTTCGACCCAGTCATTGTGCAATTGCAGTGTCCTTGCCATGATCTCCTGGAGATTTGCATTTCAATGGACTTCCCTGGGTCCTGCCTCTCTTGCTCTTTGCACAATAGAACTTGAGTGCTTCTATCCCAGGGAAGAGTTATACATTTGTGGGAGGAGAAAGCAGAATTTGGGTCCATTTGATGTGAAATAATCACCTCTGTTTCTTTCTTGCGGTCTTTTTCTTGGGATAAGAGATTTCCGCTCCTCTTAATTAGTTTCCTTTTAGCTGTGTTCTTTTTTCTCTTCAGCCAGAGGTCTGACAACCACTTCCCCCTTTATTCTCCTTCCTTTCTTCTCACACAAAGGTAATTTAACAATATGTGTCCTCTAATGAATGGTAGGCTCTCATCCTCCGAGTTGTTTCTCTTTCTCCTTGATTAGTGCCTGCTGTCAGGTAATTAGAGGAACACTCAGATGAGATTGGCATTCAGAATAGAAAGCTGCACCTCCTGCTTAAATCCACATGTAACCTCTGCATACAAGATAGCAAACAGAAGTCAAGTGGAGATTTGACTCTTATGGTATTGCTGGTATATGCTCAGGAAATAGGACTAGAATCTATCATTTTTATTTAAACCTTTTTTTAGCACAAAAAGCTGGGACCGAAGGGAGACGTAGATGTGAACCCGGAAGACAAAAAGGAGGAGAAAAAGCAACAAGGAGAACTTTACATGTGGGATACTATTGAACAGGTATAATTTCTTTGATGCCCGCTGCAGCTTGTTAAATCTCAGATGCCACAGAGATTTAAATATTAAAGGAGCATTCTTAGTAGGCAGAGGTAGTAATGTTTGGTCGTTGCTGTTTTGATGCGTGTGTACATGTGTAGAAGAGAGGTGCTCTGCGCTTGGGTTTAGCAGTTTTGTCTCATCATCCTGTTAACAGTTCTAACACCTGTCTTACTTTCCAGAAATGGACTCGACACTACTGTGCTGTTGCTGATGAAAAGCTTTCATTTGGCGATGATATAGAACAGAACCCTGATGAAGATCCACAGAAGGTAACGGCTAGTCTTTTTGGTGTTCATTTTTCAAGCTCACTCCCTCTGGGTGAAAACTCTAAATGGGGTTTTTTCATGTTGTGACTAGACAGGAGAAACTAAAATTCATCCTGCTTGTTACTCCAGACCTCCAGAAACCCAGGCATTTTAATCATCTTCACTCTGGCTGTAAGTCACACACAGGCTTTTACACAGAGGGTTTTTGAACAGAGGAAGGAGGGCACTGAGGTTTTCTTTCTGTTTCCATGGAATAAGTTTGAAGAGAGCATCAATACAGACATGATATATGCATGTCATAGTCCAGTGCTTTGCATTAATCACATACCCTGTCTGATTTGAATTCTGTGTTACACATGATCTAAAGGAGTGTCACTCTTCCTCTTCGGCTGCTTGATGTCTGGTGCCTATGGGAATACCATGCTCACATCAAGAGAATAATAAATGATTCTTCTCTCTCTTTAATTTTAAACTAAGGGGATGAATTTTACCTGAAGCTTTTTCAAGTTGAAAGTCAAAATCTTCCTCTCAGACTGTCTCTACAGTGTTTGCAGATGGGTGTGTTTACACTCCCTAGTCGTTTGCACACTTGATTGCTCTGCTGCACATGCATCTGTAGAGAATCTGTCTGATAGCTGGGTGCAGGTGCAGATGTCACCTGATGAAAATTTGGGCCTCTGTTAACAACTTTGACAGCCATTTTTTGAAAGCGGAATAAAATATGTGTAGTGTATGCTAATTTAGAGCTAAAGAAGTGTATACATAGGGTGACCATATGGGGCAATGTGAAATCCTGGACACTGTAGGCAGAGGTCCGGCAGCGTGGTGCAGCTCTGATATTATACTATTCAGGCAGCTAAAGGAGTCAGTGACCCATTGTTTTTTACCTTACAGGTGCTAACGATTATCTTCACTTTTTAACACTTATTCCACTAATCAAACTAACCTATTTTTGGGCAGTTTCCTATTTCACAGCTGGTGCAG